ATTATTATTATTATTATTATTATTATTATTATTATTATTATTATTATATTATATTATTTTTAAAATACTCTGTAGTGTGATTGTCATGTGGTATTTGGGGCACTGTGCTGGAGTAGCTTTCAAATTTCATTGTATTCGTGGAATGCAATGACAATAAAAATATTCTATTCTATTCTATTCTAAAGGAACTGCAGTTCAAAAAACACAAAACTATAACTGGGACAGATTTGAAAATCTGTAATACGCCATGACAAATAGAAGGTTTAATGTGGGAAAATTGCCCAATTAAGTAAGGAATCAAAACATTTAGAGAAGGCAGGACTTGGCCCCCCCTCCCAATGTGTCCCCGCAGACTTTCCCTCGCACACACACACACACCAGGTCCCCAAAGGGCTTGGGCTCCTCCCCACCCCTATCACACAATTACCTTTTGAATGTCTCTGAACTTCACATCGGGGAAGGAAGGCAGACCATTCCATCCTTTAGCTCCCCTGGGCTGCATGGCTGGGTCCTGAAAGTGGCCACCATATTTAGAGTAGCATATTCCTTGCGGTTGCACTAAAATGGCAGCCACTTAAGATGTGGTTATGTAGCCCAGTGATGAAGCAATCTGCTCTGCTTCAGCATTTTCTGCAGCACTATGCAGGCCACATTAGGGAAGCAGCATATCGCTTCATTGCTGAGATGAGCAGCGCATAAATTTAATAAATAAATATCACAGTTGGACTAGTGATTACTAGTTATCATCTCTTTTTTAAAAAACAGTTGAAATTTTAAAGAAGATTGACATTCCATCAGTTTTCATTGGCGAAACATCTGCGAAATCTCTTAAAGAAGAATTTACTTTCGAAAAAGGGTATGTATAAGATACCTCACAAACTTTTTATTTACTGATATACAGAATGAAAGATTCAGTTTGAGTGTAAGGATATGCTTTCCCTTGCTTTTGACGCTGAAATTGCCAAATATTTAAGTATCTTTTCATATTTCAAAACCTTTTATTTTCTTGTGATAGTTATACGAAATTTGTAGACATAAGTGTTCAAATTTTAAACAAATTTATTCAAAGGTTTTTCTGTTAGCTATCTTCTAAAGTTATACGATTTTATTTAAAAATAATGGTGGCTTTTATGGTCATTGTATGGAACATATACAATATAAAAATGATCTGTGTAAATTTAGAACTTCAAAGAAATATACAACCAGATATAACAATCAAGTGTCTTAGCAGAAAAAGAATGAAGTATTTTTAGATTTCCTTTTTTATCATATGCAGTATTACAGATATTCTTCTCTGCACAACTTTTTTAGAAGAATTTTTACAATAAAATTGGTTTTCCTTTCTTTCAGAGGCCATATCGTGCTAATCCCAGAATTCAGCCTTCCTTTGGAATATTATCTAATCCCATTCTTAATAATTGTGGGAATCTGTCTCATCCTTATAGTTATATTCATGGTGGGTATAATCTTCTTTCGTTGTGCTATCTTTTGATTTTCTCTACCCATATAAACACTTTTTTTAAATTGCTGAAGTCAGTTTATTTTAATGTTTATTGTTTAGTGTATGTCTTTGTGAAAGATATTGCTGACATTAGGTAAACTGTACATTAGAATCTGTAGCTAGCTTTAAAAAGCCGTTTGGGTCATCACTCCAATTGAGGTTTCCATGGATTCACTGGTTTAAGAAGAGCTTCCTTATGGGTAGTATTTATATTCATATTGCAGCCCTTCACATTCATTTAAACATCCTGGCTGCAAGGGGAATCCATCAGAATGTGTAGTGGAGATTTTCTTAGTAATGCATCCAGTTTCAACATGACATTGTATCCCGCCTGGAACATAACCATAAGAAAAGAGTTGCCAGGACTCAAAGAAATGGCCTTTAGTGTAGAAAAGTTGCCAGGTGGTGACCAGCTGAATCTGCTTGCTATATGGCAGGGGTCCCCAACCACCGGTCCGCGGACCGGTACCGGTCCGTGGAACAAGTCCTACCGGGCCGCTGGTTTGCTGGGCGCCGCCATCTTTTTTTGATGAAAAAGTGCTTCCGGTGATCTTTTCCGGGTAGAAAGCTCACCGGAAGCACTTTTTCATCAAAAAAAGATGGTGGCGCCCAGCTAATGCCGGTACCGGGCCGCGCCATAAAAAAGGTTGGTGATACCGGGCCGCGGCATAAGAAAGGTTGGGGATCACTGCTATACGGGATGTAATCCTATTTGTATACCACCAATTCTTTGCAGTTTACATAGATTCACAGAACAATAACAACTATAAAATATTCATTACAACTTATTACTAAAACTGTAATAAAACTATTTTTCTACCAATTTATAAAAATCGAATATAAAGAGCAAGCAGGCTTTTATGGTAGACTTTGTAAGATTATCCCAAGGAGACATTTGTTGGGTTAAAGGTATATTGAACTTCTGCGAATCAAGGTGTCTCCCATTATATCACCATATAATATATAAAAACAAAAATGAAACCATTTCGAGATCTAAAAAATGATCTGAAATTCTGTGTAAGTGTCTGTTGCACATCTTTGGGAACAGTGGAAGTAGGTGGTTCTTACAAATGTTTTTCTTAGTAGTCCATAACTGCTGAAAGTTTAAGCATTATCGTATTATGTTAACTGAGGATTTGGATAAGAATTTTACATGTAGGAGTCCTACTGTTGTATTTTATAAATCGTTTAATATGCATCCTTCTTTAGGTAACTCAAAAACAAATTGAGTAGTCCTATACTTTTCTTATTTTATTTTTCCCTGTCTTTCAAGATAACAAAATTTGTTCAGGACAGACACAGAGCAAGAAGGAATCGCCTTCAAAAGGATCAACTTAAGAAGCTTCCAGTACATAAATTCAAGAAAGGTAAGTGGAATGTTTTAGAACTTTTAAAATAATCTCTACTCTGACCAGTTTTAAACGCTGTGTTAACAGCTGCAGAAAACAATTGGATGTTTCACACATTGACAAACTAATGCTTTCAGACATGGGATAGCTTTGATTCAGAATATAAGATTGGTATGCAAAGCTCCTGACTTGAAGTCTAGAGTAGACAAGAGCATGTTGGAATGAAAAATATAGTTGCCCCTTTCAGCCCCCTGGCCCAACTTCCTCAATTAAAAACTACTCTGTAGAAGTCATATAGAAAGAAAAGCACTTTGGTGGGCATCTGGAAGAGGCATAAATCAGCAAAAAATAGTCTTTTTTTATTTTCCGGTGGGAACAGTTTATTTTATTCAACATTCTGTATTTAATCTCTTTAAGTTTTCTATTTAAACCACCAACTAACAGGAGCACTAAAATATTACTTTGTAGCCAGTATGAAGATCTGCTAGTAATCTGAATTTATTATTTATAAACTAATGAGTCATTGATGTATCACTGGAATTGATATTTTTTTTAATAATTACTTAGAATGTAGCTCCATGATGTAAGAAAGCTGGATGTAAATGTACTACAAATAAAACATAAAAATGTTTCAAAATAAATATTGTAATTTCAAGAAGGAAGATACTGGATTTCTTTTTATTCTATGGTTTATGACAGCTTAATTCAATGAAATTTGCCCTCCTACATTATATGAATCATAAATAGCTTACAAAAGCAGTTATTTGTCAGCAGTCATGCAATAACAGCTCTTAGAAGAAATAAAGTAGTTTTTCTGTATTTCAAGTACAGAATGATATCTTTTCAGGACATAAAGGTTTTGATGTTTGCTGTCAAAAATAAAAAATAAGCTTGCTGTATACACTATATCTGTTTCCCCCCAGTGGTTTGACAACTGTTTGGGATTCTGATTTGCAGAATTTCCAGCTAGTATGCCAGCAGTTTCAAAGAATATGCTTCCACATATCTGAAGGACATCTTACTGAGAAAGTGTATACTGTATTAAGTTGTCAGAAATTAGTCATTTAAAAAAACTGAATAGGATCTTTCCTTTGACATGTGCTTGACATGTGCTCTCATTGTATTTTGTACTTTTTCTTCATTGTGTGCTGTTCAGGGAGGAATGAGAATGTTAATTTTTGAGGGTTTTTGCATGGCATAATTCAGTGAACCATTTGTTGTAGCTTATAAACAGAGCTATAATAACTGCATGCTGCCATGATCAACAGAAGGAATATATAAGACATTATATGAGTTCAAGGCAAAACCCTAGCCTGCATGTTGTTTGCCCTTGATAAATATCTTGCATTATTCATGATATTGTCAGTAGTAGTAGTACTGCAAAGCAGATATTTGGTTGAAACTGCATTTGACATGATGTGCAAAATTAATTTCTTCTAAGATAATGAAATTCACTATGCAAAGCTGAGTGATCTTTGCTGAATAATTTTATTTCACTGGGCTTGAAATGGACTATAAAGGATTATGAAACAGGCTAAAGTTTCATTCCCCTTTCCTCTTTCCCCTTTTCAACAAATACATAAATATAGTAGCAGAACTGAGCATTACACACCCTAGGTCCAATTCCTAAGTCAGGGTGGCAGCTTCGAAATTTTCATGGCCACTTCCTATCTTCCAGAACGATATCTTTACCTGTTCTCCACATGACTCAGCATGTAAAAGATCACATCACCTGGGAACAATGAAAAGGGGGGAAATGATAAAAGAAAATGAATGGCATAATACCACCTCTTCTGACTTTATAGGCATGTGGTAAGGGTAATCAGCTCTACTTTTATGTAAGGAGACTAATCTTACAATAAATAAATAGAATCAAATTTCTCTTTTAAAATGAGTGAACATAAATATTACTTTTAACTTCAAGTAGCTGCAGTAAAATGGAGGAAAGAATACATGTACTAAAAATATAGGCAGGATTTCTGGATAACTTCCAATAGAAAAATGGAGTGGCAACTATAAGACTCTGTATGTTAACCATAAGATTAGGTTGGTCTTTTCTCTAAGATATACAACTAGAGAAAATTTACATCAAAAACAATAAACATCATACACAGCTACAGTAATCTTATGCAGTATTACTAGCTCTCAATTATGAGGTCAGTTTGGTGTACAACTTTCCCTGTCAGCTTCCCCACTGACTCTCTGGGGAAACTGGCAGAGAAGGATAAAAATGGCAATCAGATGATCAAGGGTGCTTAGCAACCAGTCAAATGTGTGAATGGTTTGCCAAGCTCCCACATTGTAAACAAGTGACCATGGGGGTGCTGGAATGGCTGGAACACCAAAAGAGTAGTTGTAACCACCATTTGTTCAGCACCATTGATCATGGGTCGGGGCTATCCGAGGGGGTTAAAGAGTGTCTTAAAAACCAGGAAACTGAGTTTCTAGGTGTCCCTTAGGCTTGAAAGTTGGCTGGATGACTTTGGGCCAATCACTATCAGTCAATGCACCTTGCAGGGTTGTTGTGGGAAAAATAGAAAGTAGGAATATTAGGTATGTGTGTCACTTTGAATTATAGATAAAATTTGGGGAAAAAACAGGTGGATAAAAATGCAAATCCAGAGTAAACATCTGGCTAATTGTGCAACCAGCCACAATAATATTGCTGTTATTTATTTGTTTAAAATTGTTATAGCTGCTTATTATAGCAGACTGTTGCTTATTTCTTGGAATGATCTTTGAAGCTAATGCCTCCTTTCTCTTGTGGCTTTTTTTGGAGCTGCTTATAGATTACCACATATTATCAGAGGTTCCAGAATGATCTTTCCTGGTAGCCCTGGTACCAGGTTTTTGATTGTGTTCTGCTATCTGGAGAACTGTCTGCAGTCCTCAAAAGAACAAACTGTTTCTCTTCTGTCCCTCATACAGAAATTGTATGTCTGAAATGAATGAATGCGGGTTGAAATTCCAGTGTATCTGGTTGTCAGTGAGTAGGGGAAGGAGTTGGCTGCCCATTCACTGCGAAGAATAAATATTATTTTGCTCTTATGTTAAACTATGTGTCTTACATTGCATTGAATTCATAGGGTACACATGCACATACGCTATCTTTTTTATAGTGCCCTAGTGAGATAAAAAAAATTGTACATGCTTAAAGTAATCATATGTTGTTTGTTTCATTGCAACTTGTAAGTTGAAAAGTGCCCATGGACTCACATTATCAAGTATTTAAACAGCTGCTGCTTGTTGACTTCTTGTGCTGCTATTACGTCCTAATTTAGAGAGCCACTATGCTATTTTCCTTTCAAATATGGAGGGCAGTTAAAATGGGAGCCTTTGGCACTCAGTGGAAAAGTCCCTCTATTGATGTCCTTTGGAGAAAATTCTACCTTTCTGTCCTTACAAAGTGGACATAAATTAGAGTCAATGCCCATGGACACTAAAGGGAAAGTAGTTGGCATAGGAGTCACTCCAGAACAGTTCTATGCCAAGCTGCTTTTAAAATCTCTAGTTAGCACCATTCAAATTTTTGTTATTTTTATTTATTTATATTTATAGAAATATAATTTATATATACATATACTTCTGGCCTTCCTTTAATTACTTTTAATAGAAGCAACCCCACAAATAGAAGTAATTTGCATGTTACAGCTTCCTTTCTGTAACTATAAATTTTGTAGTGCAATAGTTTAGTCAGTTTTCTCTATAAATGTTTATTATTTAGCTGAGGGAATTTGTTTCATATTATAAAGAAGGAAATTGTCCCAGACAACTGAAGAATCATTCTCATCAAGTTGTAATTAAAAGCAACTACTCTATCTAATCAGCCTTTGTGTGGTTGCTGCTGAAAAGGAGAAAATTGCAGAGCAGCCAACTAGGAGCAGAGCTGCTCTAGTAGGGAACCACCTGGACTGCTGGAAAGGAAGCTTGTTGTGGCTACTTTGCCCTTTCCTTACTGTAGAACAGGGCACTCCAAACTTGGCAACTTTCCCTGCCAGCTTCCCCAATGACTTTAGTGCCTGAAGAATTCTGGGAGTTGAAGTCCACAAGTCTTAAAGTTGCCAAATTTAGACACCCTTGTTATAGAATGGGAATGGGAGTAGAGTAGAGTAGCGTAGCATAGAGTAGAATAGAGTAGAACAACAGAGTTAGAAGGGACCTTGGAGGTTTTCCAGTCCAACCCCCTGCATAGGCAGGAAACCCTACATCACTTCAGACAAATAATATAGAGCAAGCTGGGACTTGCATTGAGTCTTAAATTGGTCATACAAGGATTGCTTTTGCCTACACGAAACAAAACAAGGAGGAACATGTTCTCCACTACACCTGACATGGACAAAAGCGTTGTCATATAGAGTAGATGACATCAGAGGTCTTGCCTCTTTCCCATCATTTGATTGTTAAAGTAAATGGATGACTAGATACAGCCCCCTAAACCAGACCTAATTCCTTTCTTCCAGGGCAGCTCAAAAGACATTAACTTTTTGGACAGATACCACCACCGCCTCAGCTCCTGGGCACTGGGAGTGGTGTGTTTCTTTGGTGTAGATTTGGAATGGTTTTTTTAAATGTGACTTTCAGAAATAGTTACCTCCTACTTTTCTTTTACTGCAATTGATTGGATTAAATTTGAGGTGGGTGGGAATAGCTGTTCTTGGCAGGATGCTCCTTTCAGGTTCATGTAAACTGTTGAGTTTGCTTTTCCCATTAACACATCCACGGCTGTATATTTAAAAAAAAACCTGCATGCCAGATGAAAGTCCCAGGGCACAAATTAAGAAAACCTTTTTCCTGGTGATTTGTAAATTATTGAATTGTACTGTATTTTAAATTGAAACTATTTTTAATAATTTCTAATACTTGTTAATTATACATGGATTTTCCAATATTCAACATTTAACGTATAACGTCCAGTCTATTTGAATTCAAAATCACTGCCAGATTATTGTTTAGAGCTACAGGCAGCTGGAACAGTTATAAATATTTGATCAAGGGTGAGTGTTACATTGAATCCATTA